ACTGTAATGATTGCTCCCTTTACATATTGAATTGTCTTTATTTAAAGAAATAAAAACAATTAAAATTCATTAAATGGCTTGCATAATTTATATAATTAGAAGTGATTCTAATCAGGGGTAGACTTGGTGGAGAACCTAACATGTATAATGTATCTTAGGGTTGGTACATAGTAAAGAATAACCAGTACAATTTATGATTGCCAGATAACAATGATTTTGTGACACTGTAAGAAAGGCTGTAAAACCGTAACTTTACATGCCATGCCTTTGATCCTATCCTAGACACACATACACATACAAGAACGCAAAGAATTGGTACTTTCATCATTGTTTAATGTTTATAGAAGCATGCTATAAATACAAAATAAAGATTAGCAATCATGTCTGAGATGATATAGGACTATCTTCAATTATAAATACATTTTTAACTAACTGGCCTCAGTTGTTGTCAGTAATGATGTAAGAATATTCTTTACTTATCATGTTGCTTATCATTACAAGTAATGTTGATGTGTTGCATCATTGGCCTGTAAGGAATGCTTCATATTTAAAACAATTCAATCCATATGAAAATATAATCTAGTACAACAAACTATTGTCATTTCACTATGGTTTAACATGAATTTAGTGTAATTTCATGAATATATATATATATATATATATATATATATATATATATATATATATATATATATATATATATATATATATATATATATATATATATATATATATAATTTAAGAGAAAAATGAAATGACAGTGAAACTATACTATATAGTTTACAACAAATTAAACTTTCATTCATGTCATTCTCTTACATTACAATAATTAGAATTGAAAATGAAATCCTGACACTCCTAGTATTACAATAACATAGATGTAACTTTCATTCCTGCCATTCTCTAACATTACAATAATTCAAATAAACATTGCATCCCTGGCACTCCTAACACATTACAGAGAGTTCAAATAAAACTACACTCATATCAATCTTTTGATGATAAATTCAACTTACACTTTCTCTCTTACAGTAGAAAACAAATTATATAAAATACATGAACTGCTTTTAGAGATCATATTTAAAAAATTGTGTTTTTAATATGAAACATTCCTTTCTCTAAAATTGCATAGACAAATTTGCAAAATGACTCCTCAAACAAAATATAGCATAAAAAATAGGGAAGGATTTCAAGTAAAACTACCTAATTATTTACGACCAGTAAAAACAATTAACTTATTACACATAACATAAAGAGAGGACTACATATATACACAACTCTCTCACCTCCCCAATCCCACCCTTAACACCCCCACCAATCCCGACATGGGCATGCTGGTTTCTATTTGGTATAGGCTTTACCAGTAGATGTGTTGGAACCTGCCCCTCCGCTGACTTGGTGTTGACAGAGCTGTGGACCTGTCGGCTGTACCCATTGTATCATACCAGACGTTAGCCCTAATTCCTAGCACAGGTCAGTGTCGATAATGCATCACATAAAGTTGTGAATATTGCCATATCTTTCCTAAGTGTGTAAGTGTGTGAGTGTATGACTCCTCTAAAACGAAATACAACAACGTCTTTTATATTCTAAAACTATTAACTGAGTTATTTCCCTTATCAGCAATGACTATAATTAATATAATTTTCTCTGAAATTAGTATTGCCACTGTAATGATTCAAAGTCATTAAATGGCTTGCATAATTTACTGTGATATCATGCCCATATAAGTAGAAGTGGTTCTAATCAGGGCCAGAGTTGGCGGAGAACCTAACATTTATAATGTATCTTAGAGTTGATACATGGTAACAAATTACCAGTACAATTTATGATTGCCAGATAACAATGATGTTGTGACACTGTAAGAAAGGCTGTAAAACCGTAACTTTACATGCCATGCCTTTGAACCTATGCTAGGCACACATACACATATAAGAACGCAAAGAATTGGTACTTTCATCATTGTTTAATGTTTATAGAAGCATGCTATAAATACAAAATAAAGACTGGCAGTCAAGTCTGAGATGATATAGGACTATCTTCAATTATAAATACATTTTTAACTAACTGGCCTCAGTTGTTGTCATTAATGATGTAAGAATATTCTTTGCTTATCATGTTGCTTATCATTAAAAGTAATGTTGACGTGTTGCATCATTGGCCTGTAAGGAATGCTTCATATTTAAAACAATTCAATCCATATGAAAATATTATCTAGTATAAAAAACTATTAAATATCATCATTGTCATTTCATTATGGTTTAACATAAATTTAGTGTAATATATATATATATATATATATATATATATATATATATATATATATATATATATATATATATATATATATATATATATGTATGTATATATATATATAATTTGATAAAGAGAAAAATGAAATGACAATGAAACTATAAAGTTTACAATAAATTAAACTTTCATTCATGTCATTCTCTTACATTACAATAATTTGAATTGAAAATGAAATCCTGACACTCCTAGTATTACAATAGCATAGATGTAACTTTCATTCCTGCCATTCTCTAACATTACAATAATTCAAATAAACATTGCATCCCTGGCACTCCTAACACATTACAGAGAGTTCAAATAAAACTACACTCATATCAATCTTTTGATGATAAATTCAACTTACACTTTCTCTCTTACAGTAGAAAACAAATTATATGAAATACATGAACTGCTTTTAGAGATAATATTTTAAAAATTGTATTTTTTTATATGAAACATTCCTTTCCCTAAAGTTGCATAGACAGATTTGCAAAATGACTCCTCTAACAAAATATAGCATAAAAAATAGGGAAGGATTTCAAGTAAAACTACCTAATTATTTACGACCAGTAAAAACAATTAACTTATTACACATAACATAAAGAGAGGACTACATATATACACAACTCTCTCACCTCCCCAATCCCACCCTTAACACCCCCACCAATCCCGACATGGGCATGCTGGTTTCTATATGGTATAGGCTTTACCAGTAGATGTGTTGGAACCTGCCCCTCCGCTGACTTGGTGTTGACAGAGCTGTGGACCTGTCGGCTGTACCCATTGTATCATACCAGACGTTAGCCCTAATTCCTAGCACAGGTCAGTGTCGATAATGCATCACATAAAGTTGTGAATATTGCCATATCTTTCCTAAATCTTTGATGAAAGTGCATAATTATGAAAGGTCGCTTCATTAGTTCAGAGACTAATCAGCATTTGCTTCTATTAAAGGTGACCCCATAAACTTTTCAGTTGTAGCTGCTTGACAAATTAAGAACACTAAAATATCTTAACAAGAAAATAGGAAATTATAAAACACTATTTTTTTAGCCCAGCTTGTTAGAAACAATTCTTGACTTGGAAAAAAAATAAATGTATATTTTCCTAAATCATATGGGGCTGTCTTAGATTGTCATTTCTGAGAAATGGTAGAAAATACATTCACTATAACCTATTGATAATTATAAGTCTTACTGTACATCTTTAGGAATTTCCTTTTTTTTAAATATAGAAATTCTGTGTAAGTGTGGCCTGAATAATGAAAACGGCTGACAGAGATTAAACTTAATTTTAGATGTATCTAACATTCATGCCCTAATGTAGATACACCTTGAATCAGGTAATAACTCAGTTATAAATAATTGTAGAGGTTTTTTTTTATATTTTAAGGAATTTTCTTTTTTCTAAATTCTGTGCAAGTGTGGCCTGAATAATGAAAACGGCTGACAGAGATTAAACTTAATTTTAGATGTATCTAACATTCATGCCCTAATGTAGATACACCTTGAATCAGGTAATAACTCAGTTATAAATAATTGTAGAGGTTTTTTTTATATTTTAAGGAATTTTCTTTTTTCTAAATTCTGTGCAAGTGTGGCCTGAATAATGAAAACGGCTGACAGAGATTAAACTCAATTTTAGATGTATCTAACATTCATGCCCTAATGTAGATACACCTTGAATCAGGTAATAACTCTGTTATAAATAATTGTAGAGGGTTTTTTTTTATATTTTAAGGAATTTTCATTTTTCTGAAAACTGGTTTGATAATATAGACTGTTTAGTGTCAGTGCGGCCTGAAAAATATAGTTGTCTTCAGCATCCCTAAATGCCTTCACAACTAAAGGCCATGAAAATAGCTGATTAAACTTAACTTTAGACATTTCTAGCATTCCTCCCCTAATGCCAGAAATATCAAAAGTCAGGTTGTGGACAGTCTATACTATTTAGTACCATTACTATTATATTTATATTTTTTTTTTCTTAAAAATTATGATTTCTTATACATTTTACAGGTTGACTATTTTTCTTTCTATTAAAACAAGCTAGACAGCCACTGGTCCCTATTCTTTTACTAACAAATACAGTGTAAATGGAACAATTGCTACCACATTGCCAAAGAGAATAAACTACTCTTTATATTGAAAAAGGCCTTAAAGGACAAAGGTTTTTTCTTTAGTTTATGTCCAGTTCTCACCGGATTTAAATATTACATCATGTCTGCAAGTCAAGAATATTACTTGTTAAAAGTTTTACATTTAGTTAACTAAATACTTTGATGATGTTAGCAACATTAACACCACAACAAGCCCCTGGTTCCTTTCCCTTTCCTAAAAGAGCCTATGTTTCTATTTGTGCATTGTAACAGGAAAAAAAATAAGTGAAACAGCTTGCACATTACTAATGAAACGACCTGTTTACAATCAGGCACTCTGCTTACATAGACAAGGAAACTGCAATATTCACAAACGTATGACACATTATCCAGACTGACAAGGCTAGGGTTCAGGCATTATCTGGTAATCAACAATGGGCCAGCCGAGCAGGCCACAGATGTCAACACACTCGCAGCGGAGGTTGGCAGGCGGCCTGCTCTATTGAGCAGACCTCTCCAACTGTTCATCTCCCTGGTGTGCCACCATTACCAGCTGCCCCCTCTTCCACACCCACCTTCCGTCAGGATAACCCCCCCCCCCTGACCCACAAAAACCATACCCTGCATCCCCACCATCCATCTAATAGAAAGAACAATGACAGTGAAACAAAAGAAAAACAAAAGGTGTAATAAGTTAATTGTATATCACCCACCAGATCCTCCCCCTTTAAAACATAACTAAATTTTACTTGAATTTCCTCCCTTTACAAAAATAAATAATTAAATACAATTACATTTTCCAAATATTAATCTTGAACATCCAGAAGTTTGTTGAGATCCTGGCTTCTGCTTGAAAATGTCTTTTCTTGAAGATTTCACACAGGTGCTGTTGTTGACTGTAATTTTAATGAACAGATGTTCAATATTATCTTTTTTAAAGTTAGCTAGTTTAAAATTAAAGTTCAAAGCTAATTCTCAAACACAAAAAGTAGTAAAATATACCTTGATTAAAGAGCCTCTTGAGGAAGGTTAAGAGTGTTATTTCATTGTTGACATTCTGTTTATTTTCACAATTTTTTAAAACTTGAACATCCAGAAGAGGGTTGAAATCCTGGCTTCATCTTGAAATTGTCTTTTCTTGAAGATTTCACACATGTGTTTTATAGACTGAAATTTAAAATAACAGATGTTCAATTTCTTTTTTAAAGGTAGCTATTTTAAAACTAAAACTCAGAGCTAGTTCTCAAAAAAAAGTAATAAAACATACCTTGATTAAAGAGCCCCTCGGGTTGAGGAAGGTTAAGAATGTTATTTCATAATCGTCTGGATGATTGCTGACATTCTGTTTATGGACACAATTTTTAAAACTTCAACATCCAGAAGAGGGTTGAAAATGTCTTTTCTTGAAGATTTCACACATGTGTTTTTTGTAGACTGTAATTTAAAGTAACAAATGTTTTACAATCTTTTTTTACATCAATTCTCAACATCCAGCTGGTATTTTATTTTTAAATGTCCTTTACTAATGTGAAATCTGGTGAATTTTTGTTTTAAAATAAAAAATAAAATAAAATAAAAAAGATTTAAATTAAACAATTTAAAATTGACCTCATATTTTAGAAAATAAAAACCTTTTAACATACCTAAAAATTAATACACATCGTGGAATTTGGAAATAAATCAATCTACTGATGGACTTCAGTGACCTGCTAGGATGTAATTTTATGTCTGCAGGGGAAAAAACTCATACATGATTAGAAAAATACATAAGGTAACTAAAACCTAACCAGAAGGATCTGGCTGATGTTTGACAATGTCTTTATCGTGAACTTGTTACCGCTCATTGCTGAGGATTGAAATGTAAAAAAAAAAAAATTAACAACAATCTGTAGAAATGTCATAACAAAGAAAAGTTTAAGACTGTTCTAATAAAATTGATTTTGAAAAAAAAAATGCCTACTGAAATATTATGGGTTTCTCGAGGTTTGAACATAAATGTGCTGTTGAACTTCGTTGAAGACTGTTTGACTCGTGTACTTGTTGGCTTAATGAATTACTTCTGGTTGATGTGCAAGACAAAAGGATGCATGTTGTTAATTATATACATACTTTAAAAAAAAATGAAACATATCAGAATATAACTTTAGCTTTAAGACTAAACTTTTACAAATAATTTTAAATTATAGACAGCAACTGAAAAATTAATGCTTGAAAAAAATGTACTTAAATGTTTGCATAGGCCTACCTAAAAATCACGGGCATCTCAAAAGGTGTGGAAAAGAAACTGCTGTTGGACTTTGCTGCTGATGTTTGCCAGAAGTGCCACCCCCCCCCCCCCCACCCCAAACTTAATCTACGCCCATAAAATGCTACCCAAGTTTACACTAACTATCAGCCACCAACTCAGTAGAATTGCGGATAGATTGTCCATGTCTTTAAGCTTTTCCACTTAAGTAAGTGACCAAGTTAGTGCCAAGCTTTAAGTTTCTCCACTGAACAATGTGTCAACCACAAAATGTTATCACAAAAGAGTTGTCGAAGCCCTTGAGTTTTTCACATAAGTGGGTCACAAAGTCAGTAGATGCACAAAATGCTTGCCCTAAAAATACCCATTCCTTTTCACAAACATCATTATCTAACGATGAACTGTAACATCTTGCCTGAAACATATGCAGGAATGCGACTAAAAAAACCAACGAAGAAATGAAAGCAACTTGTTAACCTACAAGATAACAATTTTAACAAAGTGTTGAGTGTAACATTAAACCTACTTAAATTAGGCCTACTGCATTTTATTAAAGTAAACGGCACCTGTAGGTCTATTTAAGTAAAACCTATAACGTTTTAAAATAAACATTGTATACATTATAAAATCGGTCTATTTTATTTTCAGTAATTAAATTGAGATATAAATATAGGCCTAAATGTGTAGTATTATGTAGGCCTATGCCTATAGGATAGATTAGGCCCTACTGTAATATTGTAGGCTTAAAGAAGGTATAAGGACCAGGGAGGTCTCTTCTTGTACGATAAGACGAGCCTAAATGTTAAAAGTTAATACAATGTTATGCCTAATAATACTAAATGTCTATAGATAGACCGTTTATTTTTAAATTTACACAGATCTAGTACGCTTATATGACAGGCCAAGGCCTCTTATATGTCATATGACACTATAATATTTTTACAAAGTTTACCTTAACTAACTTAGTTAATATTAAGTAACTAGCCTAATATACTATACGTTGTATAAGTTTACCTTCATCTTGATATTGATACCACTGAAGCCAAGCAGCTGTTAAAGATATCTAAAAATCGGGCGCCAACACTGAGTATTTAATCATTCACACATCAACATTAGCCTAAGCTAATGTGTTTTAGTCTGTCACGTGATGTAAACAAACACATAACTCAGCAGGGTAGGTGCCGGCTGTGTGAATGTGTTCAATTTTTGACAGCTAAAGCCTAGATCTATCGGTCAAACGGTTAGAGTATCCCAGTGTTCCTTCAGTCATAGTTGGCGCAAACTTGAAGTCATAATGAAACTACATGGTCTAGATACAATCCAACCTACACACATAATAGCTGACCCAGAACTTCATATCATAAGCTTGACGAAATGGCAATGCAAAAATTCGGTAAGTAGTCTAGTCAGTAGTCAGGATCTAGTCTGTGATCTTAGACAACTTTTTTTTTATAACAATTAGGCGTACCAGGCATAATTGTTAATGTTGTGCACACTTCCTCCATAATATGTATTCTTTAGCCTAATAATTAGATTTTTAAATTAAAATAAAACAGTCTAGATTGAATGTTATTGTTATATAGGCCCAAGATAATGCTATTGACTATTGTATAGGCCTAGGCCTAATTATGATAGTAGACCTATAGGGCATAAGGCCTAATGAAATTGCTCTGCCTTGCCAATATGTTTTTAATTTTAACTACTTGTGCATACTTCCTGCCCCATGTTGTATGTAGATCTAGACCTGGTTAAAAATTAGGCCTACTGGTGTCTTAACATATCTCATTTTGAACTTCTTTAATAATAGCATATGCCTCCATTGATAAATGTTGAAAAAAAAAACATCCTATAAGCCTACACTATAGGCCATTAGATCTCTAGTATATTAAAGTTGCTGTGCCTTAAGTTATTTAACATGTTGTGCATACTTCCTCCCTAAGTTGTATGCAGAACTTGTTAATAATTATTTCTGTCCAATGGACATCTGAAAATTTCTCTTTATTATAGCCTCCCTTTTAGAGAATCTGTAGGCTATTATATTTTAATTGTTGTGCATTGCCAATATGATTTTAACTTTCTGTTGCCAATATGTTTTAACTCATTGTGCATACTTCCTCCCTAAGTTGTATGCAGAACTGGTTAAAAATGGTTGGTGACTAAGTGGACTTCATTTGATATTATGTCTCTCTCATACACTGTTTAAAAAGAACATCAGTCCATGGTATTGAAAATGAAATTGTCCGGCTGTTGCCAATATGTTTTAACTCATTGTGCATACTTCCTCCCTAAGTAGTATGCAGAACTGGTTAAAAATGGTTGGTGACTAAGTGGACTTCATTTGATATTATGTCTCTCTCATACACTGTTTAAAAAGAACATCAGCTTATAGTCCATTGTATTAAAAATGAAATTGCTCGGCTGTTGCCAATGTTTTAACTTATTGTGCATACTTCCTCCCTAAATTGTATGCAGAACTGGTTAAAAATGGTTGGTGACTAAGTGGACTTCATTTGATATTATGTCTCTCTCATACACTGTTTAAAAAGAACATCAGTCCATGGTATTGAAAATGAAATTGTCCGGCTGTTGCCAATATGTTTTAACTCATTGTGCATACTTCCTCCCTAAGTTGTATGCAGAACTGGGTAAAAATGGTTGGTGACTAAGTGGACTTCATTTGATATTATGTCTCTCTCATACACTGTTTAAAAAGAACATCAGTCCATGGTATTGAAAATGAAATTGACCGGCAGTTGCCAATATGTTTTAACTCGTTGTGCATACTTCCTCCCTAAGTTGTATGCAGAACTGGTTAAAAATGGTTGGTGACTAAGTGGACTTCATTTGATATTATGTCTCTCTCATACACTGTTTAAAAAGAACATCAGCTTATAGTCCATTGTATTAAAAATGAAATTGCTCGGCTGTTGCCAATGTTTTAACTTATTGTGCATACTTCCTCCCTAAATTGTATGCAGAACTGGTTAAAAATGGTTGGTGACTAAGTGGACTTCATTTGATATTATGTCTCTCTCATACACTGTTTAAAAAGAACATCAGTCCATGGTATTGAAAATGAAATTGCTAGGCTGTTGCCTAAATGTTTTAACTCATTGTGCATAGAGATCTCATTTGGCATGTCATCTTTGGTGCCTACATTTCCTTATTTGCCTACACAGATGATATAAAACAGCCTATATTTGATTATTTTAAAATTAAAATTGCACTGCCTTTGTTGATATATTCCAAGTTAAATCTTCCCATTGAAACATGACATTGTATTGTTGGATGGGATTTCCTCCAGTCCTACATGATTTATTATTATGTAACAACATCAAAAAATGTAGTATTTCTTAGATCCATGTACAAAGCTGCTAGGCCCATGGTTTTCTTCCATTAATTAATTAAATCATGTGAGAATTTTAACAGACTTTAATAAAACATGGACAAAAATATACACATTGACCAATTTGAATTTCTCGTTTGGATTTTTTAACCTTAATTTTTTGAAAATGGTTCTGAAATGTAGGCCTATCTAAGGTTTTCATTTCTAAAATTGGCAAAAAGGTAAATATGTATTGTAATAGGCAAGGGCAAAATAATGGTGATAAGTAAATAAATTTTTAAAAGCCAAAAATAATATAGACATTAAAAACAGGTTTGCACTGACTAAATTCACTACAGATAAAATAATTTAGATTTTATGTTTGAAGGCAGGTAATAAAAGATTTCACCAGTTTCACATTTGACAAAATCCATTAGAAAATATATATTTTGTCTTCCATGATTTCAACTTATTTTTTTGGCAATTAGTGTGCATTGCCATTAATCCAGCTATAATTAGTTGACTTTCTATCAGTAATGCATAAATTATTGTCATTTGGTGTAAATCAATGTTCACCCATTTTCTTACAAGTCAAATACTTCCTTTTAAAGCTTTTTGTGGTGTCTTTTCGTTCTTAAATACCCAGTTGTCTTTAATGTTTTGCCTTTCACAATATGTATTTGCATATTGGCATCCAATGAAGAGGATATGATTGGCTCAGTGGATTCACTCTCAATTCACAATTAAAAGGTTCTCCAGCTTGTGAATCAGTAAGCTGCAAATCCTATCATGTCAATTTTTTATTCTCTTCCTCCTATTTGATGCCTTTGTGATCTCAATCAACTTCAGAGCTTTATAGGCCTACATGGTGTTTAATATAATTCCTTTTCTAGAAATTCCATCTTTAAAACTATTAGTTGGTGGACCACGGCCTATTGTGAAGAATATTGAATATAAGTTTCAGTTGCCATTTAAAAATAACATCTGTTTCCTCATGAATCTAGCAGACAATAGTATTAATTATATATCTTTCATTCACTGCATTTTTGAATGCGTTATATTTTCCTTAATCCTATTTTGAATGTGCAAGTAAATAGAAAAGATATTGTCAAAACCTTTCTCACCAGTAGGGTCACTGTCACATTCTGTACCCAGTTTAGGCAACTACTACAGTCTACTAGCTAGGCTAGTATGAAATACATTATTAATTATTAAGAAAGTCTGTAAAGTATTATACCTGTAGAGTGTGTCTGAGAGGGATTAGTTTCTGCAATCAAATGATCCATCTCTGTAGTGGAAGACTACACTCTGACTTGCAATGGTCAGGCTAGTCTTAAACATGTTCATAAATGGTTAAGAAATTTGTATTAATTT